AACTTGTGTGTAATTTTAATAGGGGGGAAGGAGCTAACTTTCGTTAAGCCAGCACTCCCATTTTCAATTTCCATTTCCCGCGAAACCGCACGAGCACAAAAATCGGGACTAGAACGGCACATAAATAGCATTTAATTTGGATATATATATTTTTTCAATTTTTTTGTGGGGAGGTGCTGGCTTTAGCAAAAGTGACATAACTTACATCACTTACATTCCGAAACGAAGTATCAGCAATTGTCAAACTCGCCGAAACACAACGATATCAACCGCCAATCGGACACGGAAAAAAGACAAGTATGCTACTTCGCTTGTTCTTTCGTTCTCTCTCCTATTTACTCTCGTTGTGCGTATTATAGAAAAAAAATGTCAAATAAAAGTATCAAGATGCGCTTTTCGAATATAGAAAGATGGTTAATATTACAAAATGTCTGATATCAAACAACTATAAAATTTTCTTTTTACAAAAAAATAAATAAAGGGTGTCAAGTATAATAAGATCTCATTACCTTGAAAGTTAAATGTACAATTGCTTTAAAAAATGTATTTTATTTAATTTTGTTATATGTAACTAAAATTGAGTTAGATATGGCAATTTCGTAATATGATTTTTTTTAAGTAGGAAAACTACCATTTAGATTAGAATAAAAAGACTTTTTAATGGAGATACAAAAAACATACTTAGGTTATATTTTTTTACATATTTAGGTTATATTTTTTTAAATAAAAAATATTACCAGTGTTATCTTTTAATTTGGTCCGATAAATCCTTGGGTACTCGCAAATCCCCGGCTCACGTTAAGGAGTATTGTTATGGTAAAATTTTCAAAAAATCGAAAAAAAAAATTTTTTCTTTTGCTTAAACTTCTTTATTATCACAAAAAAGTAAATAGCAATTGAATTTATAACAAAAAAATTTTTTAACTGAGTTAGAGCGTTTTTTAACTGAGTTATATCGTAAGAAACTCTATGGCACTGCTAAGTGTTTCGGAGCGCGCTGCAGCGCGAGATTAGACATTTCAGCTCTTCAAGTAAAAAGACACTAATCATCGAATGCTAACTTCATAAAAAGGTTGTACTTAATCTCCTTTATAGAAATACAACATTAGAGCAGTGTAACCGTTGAAGTGACACTGTTCGTAGGCTTTATTTTGTATTCGAAATTTAACAATTTTTTTGCCTTCCATTTCCATAAATGAAATTTGGGCCACGCTGTACTACAAACTTTCAGCAAATGAAAAGTCACGGCACGAGAAATGGCCCATCCGGTGCCGACTCATGGTGTACTACAGAAAGCGAAAGCAACTAATATACTCGATGTTTATGATCATAAGCCAGCTCTCAATATTGATGTTTTAAGGCTATAGAGTCAATTTAT